CTGCCTGCAGGGGTCCTGGCTGATCTTCATGGAGATCCCACCTGCCTGCTCTGTCCAGCACCCCCAGTGGTAGGTGCAGGGTGGATATACCCCAGCCAGATAGTATCAGTTGACCCCTTGTGCTGCAGTAGGTCAGCACCTGCCCCCCAATCTCCCTCCCCAGCCCACAATAGTTTATCCAAGTTCCTAAAGTGACCCTCCAGCCAAAATAATTGCCCATCCCTGTTTTAGGGCATAAGTTAACCTATTACTAATGGGGTTTAGAAAGTAACTTTCACTGTAAACAGATTATTTCATTACTGCCTAATGTAGGCTTCTCATCTCTTCCTGAGTCATCTGGTGCTAATCTGTGTTAGATGGTAGCCTGAAGAAATTACTCATTGGTTCCCTTATTGGTCACAAAAGAGACTTGTAGGATGCAGGTCTCAGAATTGTGGAGAACAGCATGGATTTTAAATTCTTAGCATTCTGAGTAAAGATGTGCAGAGGCATTCACGCTGATGTATGATTTTGTATAGATTTAAAGATAGGCTGGAAATTGAATGTGAGAACCCTACTCAAGACTCTGGAAAGCTGTCTCCTCACTATAATGAAGAATTGGAGATGTATTGTACAGAATTACTTGAGATACTGGAAAACATGGTAATGTTTATTTGTTATTCTTCCATACTGTGTATTCCCCATTCTTATTTATTTATTCAATTTATATGCTGTCATTTCCAACAAGGGCTCAGGGCAGCTTAGAGCAGGAGAACAGAACAATTTATAAAACAGGCAAGTGACAAGAGAACAAAGCAATGTAAAAGGAGACCTAGAATATCAACATAAAATAGAGACCCACTAAGCCAGAGGTGGCCACCTTGTGGCATGAGTCCCATAAGTGGCATGGGCAGCCTCTGTGTAGCACACAGCAGATCAGCAAGGGGCTAGGCAGTACAGCAGCAGATAGCTCAGGAAGCAAAAAGCAGAGCAGTAAATCAGGCAGGGAGCACAGAATAGGGAACAAAAAGCAGAGGAAACCAGATTGGGCAGAGGAACAGTATCAGAGTGGCACTTAGGGAGGGATGCTGGACTAGTTTGTGGCACTTCTGCTGAAAGGGTTGGTCCCCACTGCACCAAGCAATACCCCAGCCTAGTTTTGTTTGCTGGATGCCTGCCCAAATAGCTTTAGAAAGATATCCAGGCTTGGGCTCCAGTTGGGCCTCAAGAGGGAGAGTGTTCCAGAGCTGGGGAGCAAGAACCACCTTATGAGGCTATTGTTGACAAGCTGGTTAGTCTGAAATATGTATTGAAGTCAGGCAAATATGCCTTACTTTCATAATACTCATAACTGATTTATCATAAGTACTATGCACTGTGTTTATCAGATTGATTTACAAGTTTTAAGACCTGATTTTACATCCATCTTCTGGCTCCCAGCCTACTCTTGCTTTTTAGTGAAATCTAAATGTTATTGTGCAAAAACAACCCTGTCTCCAAATTGTATATATCTCTTCTATCACCATAAATTTTCCAAGTACTTAAGAAAAAATAAGCATGGCATTAGAAAGAGCACAGAATGCTTTAGTAAGTTGGGCCTGGGAATCCATGTCCTCCCAAGATTTTTGGAAAGAGTAGGAACACAATATCTGACATGCTTAGTGCAAGAGTTCACAGCTTCAGAGTGTTATATGACTTTAAAATAAAGGAAACAGTAGAGTTTTTTTAAAAACTACTGACTTGGCAAAAGGGACAGGAATAATTCTGTGAACAACACAATTTATTCTAAGTGTTAAGTCTTAATCAAAATAACTTTCATAGCCCTTAGTCATTAGGAAGAATGTTTATTTTAAAAGATTTTAGTATGCTCTTAAGATTAATTTCTGCTCAAACTGGATAGAATTCTAATGATTCCCAATTCCCCATAAGCTTGATCTTCTAGAGAAAGCCATAGCGATTCGTTTCTTTCTTAGCATGAGTTACTGTCATGATTCAGTCCATTAAGTGCCCTGAGGTAAGCTATTAACTCTAATGTAACCCTCTTGAGCAATGAGGGTCTAAGCTAGTGGTGAATTAGACAATGCATGTAGCTACTGGACACGTTTCAGTTTCCATCATTTATGATTGTATGAACTTCATTTAGGGGCTTATAACATGATTTTGACACTCATGTCTCGACATAAGATGCTGCTGCCAAATTCAGTTACTTTTTTAATGAGAGTTACCACAGATAATGCAGCTATTAATTCCCTCTTGCATTTCTAATCCATCAAGAATACTGTAGATAAATGCCCATGTTGCATTAGAAATAATTAGTCCCCTTATTGACAGTCTTGGAAGTCAATAGAAGATTGAAATGGCATACAGACTGGACTACTTTCCTTATGCCTAGATATGGCTCATCCAAATCAAACATAAAGCATATTGGCAGGGTAGCCTGGATGAGATCTGCACTTCTTGTGCCTTGACTGTACTCATTCTGTAAGAAAAAGCCATTTTCATGCAGAGTCCAACACTTTTCAGCACTGCTACATTCTTAGAAAGAAAAACAATGAAAGGAGAGAGAGATTTGCATACTTTCCATATGGAGAACTTGGATTTAATATACAGGAAAAGAGAACTAGAGATAAGTGAGGCATTCCTCATCCATTCAAAGTTTTTGCCTTTGAAGGCTTGTCTAAGTATATCCTAGCCATGCAGCTGGGCCAAAAAAACCATCACTTACAAAAATCCTTGCCTCTTGCATAGTTCCTGGATCATCTGGCTATGATTATAGTTCTAATACTACCAATTACAGATAAAGAAATATTCAAAGTAAGGACAAGCAGCATGTGCAGAGTTGGAAATCTGTATGTAAATATCTATATGTAAATATCACTATTTCCTTGTTCTTGTAGCCAGCAAAAGTGAATTAGAAATATCAAGACTGGATGGGGTTTTCACAAGTGTTCTGAAAATTCAGTAACAGCTAATGAATCTGCTGTAGCATAAAATGCCTCAGACATTACCTAACTAAACTCTCATCTGTCAGAAAAAAATACAACTGAAAATGGAAAAACTAACTTCAACTACAAAAGGAGTCTGTGACTTGGAAACATACCACTCTGGGGATGGAAACTGCAAGGCACCCCTCTTTCACACATGGCCCACTTCGTATTTCTGTAAGTAGAAAAGCCACATTTTTAAAAAAGTACTTGTGAGTTTTGTCCAATGGCAAGGTAAATTGAAAAACTAAGTTCAGAATTGACAAAACCTATTAACTTTTTTTTTGATAAGATCAACTTTGCCTCTCATAAAAAGGGAAAGCCTGCCTCTTTTTCTAATTAATAGATAAATGACTGTACAAATTAACTCAGCTCAAATAGATACACACACACACACATCTGGCAATATATATATATATATATATATATATTGCCAGATATATGTCTGACAAAACAATTACAGAAATAGACACAGGGAAAGGTCACTGCTACCAGTTAGTCCCCCTTCAGAGAAGTTGTCTGGCAGCTTCAAGTCTTAGTCTACAGACCCATTTGTAGAATGGCACTTAAATGATCTCTCCATTTGGGAGAGGACAGTTGCACCTTGGTTAGGTGTCAGATAGCCATTGAAAAGTTTTGAAAGGTCTTTGATCCTACAGTCAAAAATAATGTACATTTTTACCACTTCTGTAGGTGGTTTTGAGCCTCTGCTGTTAAGCTCTAGAATGGAAAGAGGATTTATACCATGAAATAAGTGTGGGAGAAATTATTAAATATTTGAACAATAAGTTTCGCATTTTATACCTTATTCAGGGCTGTTCAACTAATAGTCTGCAGGCCCTGTGCAGCCCCCAAGGGGTTAAACTTCAGCTCCCCGCCTCCTGCTGCTGCAGGAATTTCTGGGCTCCCCTTCCAGCCAACCTCCACCTTCTGCTCCCTGCCTGCCTTTCTCCCTGAGGTGGAGCAGGGCAGAGTGGCACAGCTCACAGAGCCAAGGAATCCTACAGCTCAGGGGCACTGACATAATGCAGTTGTGAGGGGAAGGGCACCCATCACAAGACACAGCACAGGGAACCCACACATCTTACAGTCTAGGGCAGGGGTTGGCAACCTATGGCACACGCACCAAATGTGGTACATGGCATAGTTTTTATTGGCATGCGGGCTGGTTCCCGCCCCAAGGGGTGGGAAGAGGCATGCCCAGATTGAGCAGCACATGGCTGCCCGAGAACAGCCTTGTGCTGCTGCCAGCCCCTGCATTAGACTTGCCACCGCTGGACCCCAGCCCTGGAACACTGACCCCAGCCAGGTAAGTGCCCCTGGCCCCAACCCTAGCCTGGCCCCAGGCTGGGGGCCATCCTTGCCCCAATGGCCCCAGCCCCAACCCTGTGCTGCTGGCTGGCAGGCCCCAGCCAGCACCACCGCTGCTGCGGGGCCTGTCCCTGGGCCTGGCCATGTGCTGCCAGCAGTGCCAGCACCAGACCAGGGCTGTCAGCAGTGTTGGGATGGGGTCGGAGCTGGGGCTGCGGACCTGCGCAGGCCCTGGCCCCTTCCTGGTGCTACAGACGGCCCTGGTCACATGCTGCCGGCCGGCCCAGCTGGCAGCCCCACAGCCACTGGGCCATGGCTGTTGGCAGCACTGGGATGCACCTGCACAGGCCCCGGCCCTGGCTGGCACTGCCACCACCCGCCTCAGCCCAGCACCGCTGCTGGGCCAGGGCCGGGGCTGTCTGCAGTGCTGGGATGAGGCTGGGGCCCAGCCCCCTCTTTGTGCTGCCCGTGGGCTGGGCCCCGGCCGGTACCTCCACCGCTGCTGCTGCTGCGCCAGGGCCATCAGCAGCACCAGGATGAGGCCAGGGCCCCATTCCAGTGCTGCAGGTGAGCCCGGCCCCAGCCACGTGCTGCCGGCGGGCCAGGCCCTGCCCCAGCCCCAGCCCCAGCCCCAGCCCAGCACTGCTGCTGGGCCAGGGCCATCGGCAGCACCAGGATGAGGCTGGGGCCCGGGCCTGCGGATGCATGCGGGCCCCAGCCCCATCTTGGCGCTGCAGATAGCCCCAGCCCCGCTGCTGCCAGGCTGGGGCCACGGACCTGTGCAGGCCCCAGCCCGATCCCAGCTGGGCCCCAGCCATGTGCTGCTGCCAGTGGCCTCGGCCTCAGCCCTCACTGCCGGCCCCAGCCCAGTGCTGCTGCCAGTCCCGGGCCGTCGGTAGTGTCAGGATGGGGCCAGAGCCTGCGCAGGCCTGGGCACTGCAGACAGCCCTGGCAGCCAGCTGGGCTGGGCTGAGCCCAGGCCCCAGCCACGGTAGTGGTGCCAGCTGCCAGTGGGCCTGGCCCCAGTCCTCACCACCACTGCAGGCCCCAGCACCGTGCCACTGCCTGGTTGGAGCCGTCAGCAGCATTGGGATGGGGCCCACGCGGGGCCAGGGCCATGGACCCATGCAGGACCCAGCCTCATCCTGGCACTGCCAAAGGCCCCAGCCACGTGCTGCTGGTGGGCCGCAAGCCCAGTGCCAGCCACTACCACCACAAGCTCTGGCCCTGCATGGCCCCAGCCTCAGCCCGGTGCTGCTGCCGGCCTCATCCCGGCGCGACAGCCCAGTTGCAGCCCTAGCCCCAGCCCCATACTGCTACGGGGCCCAGCCCAGTGGTGCCAACGGGCCCTGGCCCCAGCTCTGCCCGCAGCCTCATGCTGCCCACAGCCAGGCTCCAGCCCCAGTCCTGTTGCCTGCTGCTGGGTGGCCCTGGCCCCAGCTCCTCACTGCCAGTGGGCCCCGGCCTCGGCCCCAGCCCCAACAGGCGCAGTCTGCAGCTCGCCCAGGTTTGTGATAGCTGCTGATAGCCATGGAGCCTGGGCTGCTCCCAGCAGCTGGCTGGGAGGATGGAAGCCCTGCTGCAAGCAGCCCAGGCTCCATGGCTATCTGCAGCTACCCAGAACCTGTTTTTCTGGCATGCTGGCACTCCGGCACCTTCAAAGGTAGCTATTGTCGGTTTTTCGGCACTCCAGCCAAAAAAACTTTGCCTACCCCTGGTTTAGGGGCTATGCAGCCCCTGGCCACTCACAAGTTGGACGGTCCTGCCTTAATCCATAGACATGTTGTTAACTGTTATAAAGATCAGGGTATTTGACCTGCACAGTGAAGAGAAAGCTTGTATACTTTTAGCAGCCAGCTTTTTTAAGAACAATTAATATAGAACCAGTATTGATTTACTTACCTTTTCAGAGTTGCTGATGTGTTATATAATCAGAAGAGGTATATGTAACTTTTTCAATTTATTTCAGATGAGACTTCTCTCAAGCTCTCTGAGATGTACAAGGAGGAACTACAGCTAAAGCAGACAATTGTGCAAGAGATTGCTCATACCGCTGATGAGGATCTTATGATGGTGTATTTATCATCATGGTTGTACCAGCCCTACATTGAGAACAGCAGCAAACTATTACTAGAAAGCATGTTGCTGGAAACAGGACACAGACCAATCTAGCATTTCAAATAAGATTTGCAAATCTTGTTTCTTGTGGAACAGCAACTGCAGCAGACCACAACGTTAAGTACATTAGTATTTTAATAATTTCTATAAAATATATTTTCCTCTAACTGCATTTACTTGTTTTGTTTGTTGTTTGCTTTGTTTTGTTTCTGTATGAAGTGACAAACTTTCTGCTTACACTCAGCACTGATATCACAGTCCTTTCTGATGATCACAAATACATTTTCCCTCAACATTCCAGGTAGTGCAGGCAAACACCTTTATTTGCATTTTACAAGTGGGGAAAGAAAGCATAGTCTTAAGTGACCTCCCTAGAGTCATGTACAAAGATTGCAGTGGACTAGTGTCACGTGAGTCCTATACCATAGTATAGCTCCCACAAATACTTTTAGATACTGTTTCTCATCTACTGTGGCCTTCCATCGACTTAACCAGCAGCAGGATCAGTCCCACAATAAAAAGGTAGCTATTGCTATAGAGAGCAAAGGAGTCAAAAGAGGTTATCACTATCCAACTTACTCTAACTTCCCTCTAAACAAATACTAAAATGCCTATGTATGACCTTTCTGCTCCATTCTATGACAAAAATAAGTCATGAAACTGCTCCACTGTATGGAGGTATTTATAAGTTTTCTTGGATCTTCTGCTTCTCTGGCAAGTACTTTAGCCTGACTAGCAGTAAAACAGAATCTTTTTCACACTTCCATGAGAAGCTGTGTACCAATTATGACAGCCCCTGCTAAAGTAAAACTATAATATAAAGGCCATTGTTACAACTATTGAGGTTCATCTTGATGTTCCAAGTTTAGATTAGCTGCTCTTCAGTGTAGAATTGATGCAGAATGGGGGAAAGTTTTCATAGTAGGCTGGGCTTTCAGATGAGCACAGACATTTTATAGGAGTTGGAAAAATCAGTTGTGATACAGGCAGTTAGCCTCTTTGTTTTTTCAGCAGCCTCAGGCAGGTGTTGAGACGCACTGGAATAAACCATGAACAGATTTTTCTTTATCATTAGATCCACTAAACGCTGATTTAATTTCACTCCAGTCCCAAACCCTGAAAGGAGCAGCCAGGACACTGACAGTGATTTCTGTTAGCCTCTTAGCACACTTCAAAAATGGGATAAACACCATGTTGTAGTCAGGAGAACAACACACCAGTATTAAAGATGATGAATAAAAAAGTGGTCCAGGGGACCATGCTCTGCTTTGTTAGCACAAGCTATTTACTTAGTAGTGACAAAAGAGGCAGGATCCTGGGTGGCATGTTACACAAGGTTCTCTACAGGGTTCTCTTTCCTCTCTGGAAAAAAGGAGCATTTGCTATCACACTAAATTAACTCAGATAAGCAACTTCCAGCTGATCATCCTACAGATGCAGCATAATAGTCAAAAGAAAATATGGCCTTCCTATTGTACTTTAAGAAAAAAAATTCAATACATTTCAAGTGGCTAGTAGAAATTAGACATAGTTTCAGGGTTCCACAGTATTAAAATGTTCCTCTGATAATTTAAAAATCAAGGGAACTTAAGATTCTTCTGGGAAATTATACCCTGACTTTCCCGTTTTGAAAATGAACATTTCCCTGGAATGCAGAAATATTAATTCTTCATGGAAGTTACCCTTTTCCACAGTTAAATTCATGTTTACTTGTAAGATATATCACCTTGAATATATTTAAGTAACAGCAATTACAAAGCTACAAAACCTTTTGTACTTAGAAAACACAACTCTTTTTAATATAGTTTTTATTTATCCCATATACAGGCTGCCGGCATATAGCACATCACTGCCAAGAACAGTGCAATATATTATACCATGTTTCTATTTGCCAGAGAGAAGAATAAGTATGTAACAAAAGAGAAATAGTGCAACAAAATCAGGGTCAACATATTTCCACCCCCAGACATATATTAAGGGCAAATAGAATAAAAAAAAATATTCCTTAGAATTTTTGGTTGTAATGTGGCTAATTTTATAACTTAAGTTTATATAAAAAGTACAGGTCATAGAAACAGTTTACAAATAAGTTAAATCTCAATTCCAGTATTCACATTAGAAAAATATACATTTGATAGAGTCTTTTCCAGAAGAAAGCATGTATAAATAGGATTCTTCTTTTTTTTTAATTTATGGCTCCTCTTCACTATGTGAGAGCAAAATATCTTCACTTTGGCCATCTGCTTCCATTGCAAGTAGTGCTTCCACAGTTTCGAAAGGGACCCCATCAGGTGTACGAATGTGCATTGTGGTACCGTCAGCATCAGTTACAATAACTATGCCGTCTGTCTGAGACAGAACAGCGGTACCTGGATGGGACAAGATAAGTCCATCTGAAGTCTGAATAAAGATCTGTTCATGTCCCTGAGACAAAAATTCATGGCTCTCATCAGTAATCTCAAAGGCTACAGTTTCGCTTACAGTAACCACGTTCTCTAGCTCACGTGGTCCAGTATGCTGTTCTTCTGTCTCACAAGAGAATTCATCTATGTTTTTCAATGGACTTTCATGATTCACCCGAGTGGCTATGGAGGATTCCTGTACAGGACTGTCATGTGGTTCAGTCTGAGTCCTGCATGGATCTTCTATTGGCACAATACTAGTTGAAAAAACTTTTTCAAGGTGCTGCATCTGTTCAGCTATATTAGTATCATTAAGTTGTTGGGAATGTTTGTTAGTCATGCCATAATTCTGGATTTCTTCTTCTTGCTGAAGTTTTTGGAATTTTCCGTTATGATCACTTTGTTCGCTCACTGACAAGTTAGAACTCTGACTGTCCATCACAATGTCTGATAACATGGAACTACAAAATTCAGAACTTGTCAGTCTGCTTGCAGCACTCTCGTTTATAAACTGTGCTTCAACAAATTCCTCTGGTGAATGATCTGTCACAACAGGCAACAAGGCTTCAGTGTGTGGTGGAGATACATTACCTGTACTGTTTGGTCCCTGCGTGCTTACAGGTTGGGGGTACTCCATCCTCATTTCCATAGACTGAGGGAGGACATGTGAACTTGCAGAGACAAAACTAGTTTCTAAATCAGCAAACGATTCATGTAATGCAAGTCCAACTGTGCAATGAGTAATACCTCTGTCCTCAGAGTGTACAGTCTCTCCATTTAGTGGATTAAAACCTTAACAGTTGAAAGACAACAGTTAGAGCATATTGTGCATTGATCAGATTTTAGACTCTCAAAATCCATTTTCAAAAAGAATAATCTTGTAAAGATGCTAACCAATTTTCCCTTTCCTCCAGACATGTTGATGGTTTTTCAAACATGTGGAAAATAGCATAAAACAGTGCAAAAATATATTAAAAATTACAAATGCAATTATTTTGGGAGGTGGAAGGGATTGGTGAGGAAGGAGGGGACCTCTAGATGTAGCATCAGAGTTTTATACCGTATGTCCTTAGGTTACGGAGAAAATGTTTTTTCCTTTCTGCCTACCTTGAAATAGTTCTAGATCAAAGTTAAACTGGTTTCTTTCTGTGACCCCTGTAATTCTCATTACCATTTGTTAGTTTGCAGCTTTGAAATGACTAGAACTTAGTAAAGAAACCGTGTTTGTGTATGAGCTCACCCAAATTCAACATCTTCATCAGTGATTTGGACAAGGGGGTAAAAAGCACCCTGTTCAAATTTTCTGATGACACTAAGATGTGGGGGGACGTGGCCACACTAGAAGGAAGAAGCAGGCTACAATCAGACCTAGACAGGTTACAAAGGTGGGCGGATGAGAATAGGATGGGATTCAACACAGACAAGTGCAAGGTGATGCACCTGGGGAGGAACAACTGGCACCATACCTACAGGTTGGGGAACTCCCCTCTTGTCAGCATGGAGGTGGAAAAGGATCTTGGA